CATACCAGTAGGACATGTGTCTCCTGTGTATGGGTATATGCTACAAAGCACTGTGTAACTTCCAGTACAACGAACTGTAGATTTTGGCATCTCTATTGCTGTCTCCAGTCCCTCATGTGAAAGGCTTACCAGTCTGATTACACAATACCAACCTTATGGAATATGAAGCCTTTTGGGAAACACAGAACAAATTTCTCTGGAAAAAAAATACCTAGGAAATTGTTGGGCTGATAGGAAGGGAGAGCTGGCAACTGCACCAGGGAAGAAACACGGGCTGTGTCAAGCCAGGGAGCTAGGATTAAGCCCGACAGACCATTTCGAGAGGTTGCATTATGGGATTCAGGCTAACAGGTGAGTGTTTGGGTCTTACTGTTTTGACTAGTGCAATGAGCAGCTTGGGCTATGATCCCAATCAGCTGCCCAGCCACCAGCATCCAGCCTGCCCGGTGCCAGAGCACTGCACTAATGGACATGCTTAACGGGAACAAAGGCAATAGTATGAGGAGACAGCAGCAGCTGCTGTCAGGAAAGCATAACTATAATCCTCAGGGCTTTGAAGTCTCAGTAAGATCAGATTGTAGGGGTGCTCCTCATTTGACTGGAAAGTGATAAACGCTTTCTTTCTTCACGATGGCTCAGTGCTTCCTAGTTAGGAGTAAAGATATTTCCCTTACAAACCTTTCATTCTCTGAGTGCAGCTGAGTGAGTGACCAAACTCCACCAGAGGGCTGTGTTCAAAAGCACAGGCTCGGGACCCTGGCTTCAGCTTTGAGGAACTTGAATATTTGAGCCCCAGATCTCCCCGGAACAGGCCAGAAGAGAGTCCTGTACTCATACCAGAGAAAAGCCTTGCGTTTCTGGCGCAGAAACCAGGTTTCCGAACCTGTACTGGGACAAGCGACATTTCCATACATAGTGATAAGAGAGGGACTGCTCTCAACTGTAAGTAAATGTTTCTTCAGGGCAGATGAACAGTTTTATGCCCTCTGTATCATTTACAGTAAGCCATTCTGGGAGATCTAGAGATCTAAGGGTATCTAGGCTTGTCTGCAATAAGATGAATAGCAAGTATTTTTTTATCCCTGAACGTGCAATGGCTTATTTTCATTATGTAAAATACAGATGGGTTTTGGATTCACAGCTGTCATTGCCACCACTTGTTAAAATAATTCCTCATGCATACATATGTGTCTACGGGGGATGCCTGCAGGCTACCTCGGTCAGGACAGGTCCTGTGACAGCTCCTAGCTTCTAAACAAGGGGATCTACAGAAATCCCAACAGAAATCACTTTTGGAAGAGGGGTACAGAGTGGTAGCCAGCCTGCTACAGCAAGTGTCTCAAGCTAGCCAGGAAAATCCTGAGGGGAGCAGAGCAAGGAAACTGCCTTTACACCATCTTCTTTTAAAGAGATGCAAGTATCCAGATGCAGATCGTATGCTTACTGAGATTCAGGTCTTGGATTCAACAGACAATCAGAATTAAATGGCAATAAGACCTTACAAATGGTTCTCATACAATATTTAGCTTCAAAGAGGACATGATTTTCTGTCTTTTGAACTAATCTTTGAGTACACCAAAACCAAAGTCTTCAAAAGGACTCTGTAGGGTACTGCCTCTAATCCAGCACCAAGACCAAAGTAATATATTTAGATCTTGGGATTTGATTCTGACCCATATGAAATCTGAAAGCTTTTGATTTGCCGGGCAACATTCTCTGCTGCCCTTGTCTTGGTTATTGCACAGCAAGTTCATAGTGATCTATATCATATCTCACAGCTGTAGCAGTGAGTCCAGTAACCTTTGCATTACTGGACCATGGCACTGAGGGTGATGGAAGGCTAAGTCCTGATGTTTGGCAGAAACTCAAGAGCTTTAAAAGCTACACATTATCAGAGCAACAAAAAGGAGCCTGTGCTGGGTTAGGTTGTTCAGTTTTCAATTTGCTGCAAAAGGGATCAGGCAAGCCAGAAGGCAGCGTAAAATACACTGACCTGCTAACAGAACAGGATGAAGCAACTTCAGATGGGCCCAATTAAAAACAAAAAATTAAATTTAAAAAAGTCCAAACCCATACAATAGAAAATACAAGCAAGTTAATCCGGATCTTCATCGTTAATCATCATGTATATATTTAAGTACCAGATCTTGGCGTATGGCCAGAATCCTGAGTTGGCTGGTGAAGTGTAAAGGCAAACATATCTGCTCAGCCAAGCCAGCACCACTGGATTTTGATAAGCCGGCTCAGATTGCTTTAGTGCTCCAGAGCAGAATGGGCTGCGTGAGTGCTTTGATACTGTCTGTATTGCAGACACTGTTCTACGTTCCCTGGATGCACTGGGAATGGAGACAATAAGATAGACAAAGAAACCTGAATGAGGAGCACCATAAACCTGCTACTTTTCCTTCTTATTATGATGAAATGAGCTAAGTTTATGCTTTTGGAGGAAAAAAGGACCTGCATATCCTCCTCCTTCTGGCGACTTTGTACACCAGTGCCTCGGAGAGCAGGAAAACTCAAATCTGGAAGTGTAAATTTCATCAGCAAGGACCATCTGGGAGACTTTTTTAACATATGATCAGGCTAACTTTTGTTCTCAATGCCACAGTAATTCCCAAGAAAAGATTCAGATTTCAGTGGCTCATGTGGATCACCATCCTGGAGGAGGAGTAAGGTGCAACAAAAGATACTGGGTGAATTTTCAAGAATGTCTAGTAGTTTAGGAGAGTACCTTCAGCAGATTTTCAGCGAATCATATTATTTTACACAGCAGATATTCAAATGTCTGTAGGCACTTATAGCTGCCGACTGTAACGCTTAGCAGGATTTTCAAAGGCAAGTCATTTTTACAAATCCAGTTTGTACCTGTTTGTAGCATTAGGTTTCTAACAGGAGAGAGTTATTTTTAGTCTGGAAATGTTGCTCTAAAGCAGTCTGAAATTTCATGCTAAACATCCTGTTTTACCAAATTTCTCCTCAAACTTTGATTTTTCCACTGGCAGCACAAGCTGAAAACATTGTTATGACAATTTCTAGCCATTGAAGTAATTGTGATTTCTGCGTTGAAACATAAATGACAATAATGTACAAGAGAAGGAGTCTGATCAAGATCTCGTTTCCTCCTTTAATTGAAATACGTGGCAATCAGAATAAAAAACAAAATGAAGTCTTGAAATGTTAGTGAAGCTTTAATGAAATGATTCCTATCCATTCACTTGCGTATCAGTCGTGGTATATTAGTCCTTTTAGCATGGTCCTATTAATCTCATGTCTCACTTGCATGATAATCACTGTGCTGGCATTTCATTACTACCTTTATTTAAAATCCCAGTACCCACACTGTTTATGCTTCACAATCTAGTATTATTTGGACTGTTTTTCTGCCAGGTGGGGAGTTGAAAAACTCATATAGATCTGTGAAAAAAGAGATGGGAGTAAGCTGAGCTATCTGTTAGCATCAGTTGTTGTGTCACTGCCTTCCCTGCCACCACAGGGAAGTCAAGAGTACGGGTGGAAGTTCCCAGCTACAAGGCAACGCCAATCTCAGGTTACTGCAGGACCAAGTTCTACCAAAAAATGCGGGTACAGCATGACGAACTGAAAAGAAATATGAAAGCACTAGCCTTGGGTGAATTTTAATGTTATTATTGTATTAATCAAACGGCTTCAGGAAACTAGAAACAGAACATTTATAATGCTTTCTTGGGATTTTTTAAAAGAAAAAAAAATCATCCCCAATAAAACAAAGCAAAACCAAACAAAACAAAGCAAAACAAAAAAACCCCTAAACTATTTATATGTTTCACTTTTAAGGACAAAAAATTCTAACCAAACTTCCTCTTTTTCTTTTAAATGTACACAGAAATTCGATGATGTCTGTTCTCTATTATAGAAATGCTTAACTCATGGCAAGCCTCAAAAAAGAAGACTTGAAAAAGCCTGTAAGAAATAAAATAGACTGCAGTTGCCTGCTGGATATCACATCATATATCTCACCAGAAAGAAAAGCCATCAATTTATCAAAATGTATCTGAAAGGGAGAAGTTGAGTCAGTTCCACATGGCCAGTCCTTCTGACTCTTTAATGGATACATTTTGAAGCATCACTGCAGATAACAGGGCAAGAATTACGACTAATTTTGTTATGTTAGAACTATGTTTTGGTGCTCCCCAATTTCTTTGGGCTCACAGGAAACAAAATTAGTACAAACACATTACCATGTTAACTGTATTCAAAATCCCATGGACAAATGTATCCTTTTACAGTCCATCTTCAGAGCAATTAACAAAGATTAAACAATGCTAATAACCCATTATTGCTTCACTTTTATTTCTCTTCTGTTTTTCAAACATTCACCCTCCCCACTTCATAAATTTTTATAATTCGTCACATGCCACATTGATATTTTTGCTTTCCCACTGTGTCAGTGAAGTAACTGCTACAAACATGTGAACCATTAATTAGCTGGGATCACTTTCAGGAAGTTTGGCTTTCCATGCAAACAACTTTATATTAACCAAATAATGACTACACATCTGCATTTTGCTGTTGCCAAGTCCATGGGATCTGATGCTTGGCTGTATAATTTTTATTTTATATACAGTGTATATATACATAAGTGTATATATATACACATATACACACACATATATTACAATTATACCCACTGTGTCAGTGAAGTAACTGCTACAAACATGTGAACCATTAATTAGCTGGGATCACTTTCAGGAAGTTTGGCTTTCCATGCAAACAACTTTATATTAACCAAATAATGACTACACATCTGCATTTTGCTGTTGCCAAGTCCATGGGATCTGATGCTTGGCTGTATAATTTTTATTTTATATACAGTGTATATATACATAAGTGTATATATATACACATATACACACACATATATACATATACAATTATATATGTATACATCCACACACATATAAATATATGTATGCATTGCTTTTTTGCAAATGAAATCAGAAAGCAAGCAAAACAAGACTGACCTGACTTACCTGTACTGGGCTCACAGTCAATGAAATCTTCATCATCACTGGAACATTCAGCTGATGAAACGATGTCATCCGTTGTCTGGCATGTGAAGGAAAGGAACGAAGGAAAAAGAACAGAGGAAAGAAAATATAAGATACTTGCAAGTCAAGAGGCTGTTAAGAGGCAGCCAAGTATCCTAGAAAAAAAAATATTTCAGAATTGTAACTTTTAAAATATTTAACTTGTACCAAGCATTCCAGATATGCCTGCGAATTTGTGCCCTCCGTGAAGCTGGAGTCCCCTGTCGGACGAATAGTGCTTATCCTGTGCTGTTGAATATTTCAGGTGTGCACAGGTGCGGTGTGCCTGCCAGGCTGCTTAGGTTAGCAGGCGGATCGCACTGTGCTATTGAACACAACAAGTACAGCAGGCTACGACACCTGCTTGGCTGGCAAACCATCCTCCGACAGCCAAAGTAGATGTGTCCGGTTGGAACATGCTGGGCTCCTCGATAAATACCAATACGATGTAGGGCCAGCCAGAAGGCACCTACTGAGAGACTTACCATATGAGGCACGTTCAGGCTGAACATGCTTTCTGCAAAGAAAAACATACAAGATAGACTCAGACAATATGCATCACCCAGGCAGCTACCTGTACACTTCGCTGTGTTGCTAGATGCATCACTCTGAGGTAAAAGTAATTCCTGCTCTGCTAATGCACCTCTTGGGCTGGGAATCCTTTGTATTTACCCAGATAGTAAATATCTGTGCAACCCATTTGTTGCACGGTGAAGAACTGCTGCATGTGTCATTCATGCAACCTCACCTGCTTGCTTGCCAAGTGAACAGGGACGTGGCTGTGACTGGACTGACAGGCTGGAAAGTCTGGTTCTGAAAGGCTTAAACCAAACTGTGACTGTTCACGTCCCTTACAGGTTTCAGCACATTCCTTTGCATTTCCAGCTGGTGATATTTTATTTCTTTTTTTTTTTTTTTTTTTTTTCCTTTTTGCTGCTGGTCTAATTAATGAGCGGCATGTACTGCAGCACGTTAGAGAGAAGTGTACTGGTGTCTCTTCCCAGCAGCATCTCCTGCCTGTAATTGCTGCAATTAGTTGAATTAGTAATGCAGACCATTAGGGAGAGTCTGTGGCAGCCTCTGGACACAGGTTGTAACGTTCCTGCACACAGTACAAAATTACCCCAGCTCAGCAGCGCAGCATTGGCTCAGACCATGGCTTCTGCTGAAATTGTCTCCCTTAACAACTTTTCCTTGCAGAGAGCTGCCTATTCTGCTGAGCAGTAGGATCAGTGGGATGACTCCTGAAACAAACCAACTAAAATGTTCCTCACCAGGCAGGAAGCATTGCTGAAATCTCAGCTCCTCAGGAGCAGGGTGGCTGTACTTCAGTACACTGTACTTTAGTACTTCAGGTGAATATTCCTGGGAATCTCACATCATGACAAGCCTTCCAAAACCTTATTCCTGAAAAAGACTCTCCAGCTTTAAATAAGGTCTCCTTTACATTCCTATGTCTGCTATGGCTGTCTCCAACATGCTGCATGTTCTCTCTTCTCTTTGCATAAGTGTTCTGAGGTCTCAGTCTTTTCTTTAGCCTCCTGTGGTCCTAGCGCTAGCAAGTCCCTCTGTCCCCTGCCAGAAGGTCCTTGCTCTCCCCCTCTCTGTATTTGAGCTAAGGAAAAAACCAGAACTGAGCAGTCAGTCATAAAGATCAGATTGAACCTGACATTCCTTCACTCTTGATTTCAGTGGCTTAGAGTGAGCCAAGAAAGAAAAATAGGATTGGTCGACTGTAAATAAAAATTCTAAAAATAGAGTATCTGTAAAAAAACAGCCATGAAGTAAGGGAATCCCTATCATACGTGTTACTCAGTCTTACCCTGGCATTGCCATTTGGCAATGTTTTGTAGGATGCAATCTTGCAGTAGTCCCATGCTTAAATACTTTCATTAAATACCTTCATAACCTTGCCTCAATGGGGAGGCAAGATTAAAAGGAACTGGAGGGAACATGTACAAAGCAATTTCCTGCCTTACATGCTAAAGTCAGGTTTTTAGCATCTTCTTTCAGTCATAGAAAACAGAAGAACACTTGAAATCCTGGTGACTTCTCTCTTAAAACAAAATGTCTTTAAAAGTTTGTTCAGTGAGAGGTCAAGAAAGGAGGAATGCACAAAATATAAATTTACTTTCTAAAATTCTTCTGGTCCTGTCACATATATTTTATAAAGCATTATTTATCCCGAAGGATACCAAATCACTTTATAACTTATACAAACAGTGATCATATCCTCCAACAGTGAAATGCAGCTGTCCCTGGGTAGAAAGATATTAGTTTTTAATTGCACCACTGTAAAGTAATTTAGCACAATAAGTCAACAAAACTATACTGCAAGAAATTTAAGTAGGTGAAATGTAGCTAGTGAAACTGGAGATGTATATTACAGTTGTCTAAAGCATCTGTAAAAGAGTGTTAAGGATAGCACTATGAATAAAGAATAAATCATCCATCACTACTAGAAGACCTTCCTCAGACAGTGCTAAGACCCTGGCAATTGGTTTTGATTTCCAGGTTGAATTTAGAGCATGTGGATTTTGCTCCTAGTTGAAGATCTGACAATTCACATGTAGGGTCTCACAGAAGAATAGTGATGGTTTACTTCAAGTAGGAAATAAACATAAAAATTATAACTGTGTGGTTGTCACTTATCAACTGCTATACCTATCCACTTACCCACTTACTTGCTCATATCAAAGGGCTTCATACAACATTAACTTGGAATCAGATTCAATTGAATTGACAATGTGATTCAGTATTTGTAAAGAATAAGGAGTTCCTTTATAACTCTTTTTTTCCCCTCTTGCTTATTAGGGGCATCATATGAAACCAGAAAGGTAGCATGCCCAGAAAAAAACAGGTGATATTTATTTACACAATGTTGGGGATTTTTTTTTGTTTTGTTTTTGTTTTTTTTTTTAAACTGGGGAACTTGCAACAGGATACTGGTAGGTAATAATAAAGGTTTAGATGCATTTTGGATGTGACGGCCAAATTAAAGGTAAAAACATCCATTCAGAGCTATTAAATACCCCATACCTAGCTTGGGAAGTTCCTGTGCCACAGACACTGAAGACCAAAGAAGTATCACTATTTGCATTGTCCTGTTCAGGACTCTCTCCCCAAGGCCCCATGCATGGCCAGGGCCAGCAGCAGGGCGCTGGGCGAGGTAAGCCTCTGTGGCCTCCCAGCCACTCTTGTGCGTGACTGATCCTGAACATTGGGGGATGAAGAATTTTGAAGCCAAGATGAGTTCTGAGCAGGAGCTAAAAAGTCATGAAGCCTGGCTCTTGATCAATTTCCCATCTAATAAGCAGCTTAAGGACAGCACATGCAACATATTTATGCTGCACTCTTAGATACATGTTCTAGATTTCGTTCTATAAAATCCTCTTGCAGCTTGTCTTGGTTCTGAACAGAAAAGGGCACAGTCGGCCAGACTCAGACAAAATGCAAATGTGTGATGTGCAGTACTCACCAACCCTGCCAACTCTGACCTGTATCTGCACTTTTTCACAACTGGTTCCACACTTGATTCTATCAATTAATATCTGTCCTTTTCTCCCCATCTCCACTGCATCCTATTTCCCCTGATATTCCAGTTTTTCTTGCTCTGTGATTGCTGTTTATCCCATGCTGCTGATTTTGTATGTATAAAAATGAGGGTTAGAAAAAGAGAAAAACCTCCAGAAGTGGTGTTAGACTGAAGTCAAGGTCATTAACAAGATCTCTAGAAACCACAGAAAAGATAAGTACACTAATCTGTCTTGCCATTTCCTATCTTGTATTTTTAATCTCAGTACTTTCCATCACAACTCATCACTGATTTTCTAGTTCCATCACATATTGGTTTTCCATGCACCTTCCGCTCAGATACCAACATCTGAATCATCCCAGAGGAATAAAGCTATTTCAGTGAGAAACAGCAGCAAATTCCTGACCACAGAGACAGAGTCGAGGAAACCTCCAGAAGACCATAACTTCTTGTAACTAGAACCTGTACCTTTCAAAACCCTCCTGGAGCTGACAATTTTCACTGGATGATTATTAAACTTGCTGCTTCCACAAGCTCACTAGCCTTCTCCAAGACAGGAGAGGCTAGTGAGCAGCGACACCAGAAATCTCTCCACCATCATTTCTTCTCATCAGAAATGTCTCACTGTGAGGCAGTAAGCAAAACTAGCTATTCCATTTCTGATTTCCTTTCCCCATTTTTGAAATGGGGCTCCCCCATTGGGGAGGTAAACGGATTAATTCTTTAGTGTCTGCCCAATGATCTGGAGATGGTAAATGCTAAACATTCTTATGTACAGGCAACATGATAGTAAAGAAACTTCTCTGTATGCTATGATGGAAACAATGTTTGTGTTTTCATTGGTAAGAACATGAGAGAGAAAATATTTTTCTATTCCATATATTAGCTAAATTCTATATTAAAAATAATAATTCATACTATACCATTTTAAAATATGTATTTCATTTTTAAAGAATCCCAGCTTTGAAATTACTTGGCCCTGTATTAAAGGCCATAAAACTAAAGATAGGTATTATAATAACTTTCAATAAAATCTCTCTCTGGCAGGAACCCTTTTTATTCCTTCCTCTGAAAGATTTTTTATGGCATTTATATTATTATTTTTTCTCTCCCTCTCTCTAGTGTTTAATGAAATTGCCTTGGAATAAAACCAGGGTAGGAGAAAGTGCTAAACTCTGAGTCCACCCCGGAGGATTTATGGGCATATTTACCTTCAAATTCTTTCAATTTCACTGAATTGGCTCCCCATTCCTTTCCATGAATTATTAGTTCTGTAATCACCTCCTCCTAATTATTCACTCTAAAGGCCTCTTCAATCTTGCCACGGTGATGGTTCCACATCTTTGTTCATTACCCTGTACATACTGGTGTGGGATGTAAAGCACAAGGAGAGTTGAGATGGTGTGGCAAGAGCTGCTCAGGATGACTCCATTCCTGTCCAATCCTTCCAAACACCCAAAGCCCTAATTTATGTGTCAGATCCA